ACCCACTTTCACTGTACCACACCCCACCTTCACTGTACCACACCCCCACCTTCACGTACCACACCCCACCTTCCACTGTACCCACACCCACCTTCACTGTACCACACCCCACCTTCACTGTACCACACCTCACCTTCACTGTACCACACCCCACCTTCACTGTACCACACCACACTTTCACTGTACCACACCACACCTTCACTGTACCACACCACACCTTCACTGTACCACACCACACCTTCACTGTACCACACCCCACCTTCACTGTACCACACCTCACCTTCACTGTACCACACCACACCTTCACTGTACCACACCACACCTTCACTGTACCACACCTCACCTTCACTGTACCACACCTCACCTTCACTGTACCACACCTCATGCTGTGTCTCGTCTCTGTGCTGAGAAACTTCCTCTCAGAAGAAAGTCTCCATAAATACAGTAGGATTACAGGTGATTTTTCTTTCGCCTGAACTGTCACGTTAAAATATTAATAAAAAAATCATAGTCGAATAATTTTTTTAATCAAAGAATTTATATAGGGTTGTTATAACATAAAATTTAGATTAACATGTTGGACATATACATTATATACAGGTAATGTTGGTATAGTTTGTATCGATTTGAAAATAAAATTAATACTTATTGCCTAGTGGAGGGTATAATAAAAAATAATGAATATGTAGGAGAAGCGACAGATGTAATAGATATAATAATGAATATCTAGGCTACAACATAATGTAAGTGAAGTACTCACAAGAGGAAGTCTTGTTCCCAGCAAGGTTGGGAGCCCTTGACGCACACTGTAGTCGACTTGACATTCTGAAGCTTGAGTGTGACATAACTGTTCAACTGCTCGGCTGTGGAGGTAAAACAAACTAACATTAATATTATATCCTTCTATATGCAACATCAAATTAATATCAGTATTACATCCCTCTACACTCAACATTAAACATATGCTGATCTTTCATGGCGACAAACCACAAGATTTGCCCAACAACGAAAGTGGTTTAGATAAATGGTTCAGAGAACCGACACGTTGATAAATTATGACACGTACAAGACTTCAGTATCTTTATTGAGGAAACGTTTCGCCCGGGACTGATTATCTCAAACTCCTTCTGATCCTCACTATTCTTCTTTGTATTGGACTGATGAAGTCACTGTGTGGCGAAACGTTTCCTCAAATAGATATACCCAAACCTTGCACATGTCTCTTAATTTATCAACGGAAGCGGTGAATTTTAATCATGAAAAGGGCTAAGACAGGTAAAGAAAATTATGATATCTTAAATTACGAAAATTTCACGAAAGATAGGCCAAATTAATTAATAATAAAGAAGAAAACTTTCATAAGAAAAACAAAAGTTTCAGTTCAATGTTTACCATTGGGACACCCCGGGGGGGGGGGGAGCAAACCTCCATGTGATCCCATGTACGTAACACCAACACATGATATATATACAAAAAGTGATGTACGTATCTCTCTCTCTGTATATATATGCTGAGATTACTTAAATCCCTATTCATGTAGAGGTGAATAGGTGACGTGAGGCCTAAATGATACTCATGTAGTCGATAGGTTTCAAACCCAGTTAGCCAAGAAACCTGACTAAGTAATAGCAGGTTACTTACACCGGAAGGTAAGCTTTATTTTACACCGGAAGCTTTTATTTTACACTAAAGGCAAGCTTTAATTTACACTGAAGGGTAAATTATTTTTTAAAATTAAATCCTAGTGTTATCTAAGCACAATACTGTTTGTTTTAATGGGACCGAGAAGGTAGTTTAAGTGGAGCAGCGGATGGTGAAGCACTGAACGAGTTACCAAGTGACAAACATCTGTGTCAGAACACACGTGACATTTCCCCAACGGACCAAAACCCAAACCAGAAATTTAAATTTTAAACCAACAATACAGGTTAAACCTAGGTTTAGTGGAAATATATAACATCCATAAAAATATATTACTTTTCGGGAAAATTTTATCCACACTGATTTTCCCCACTTGTTGTCCCAACTAAAAAATTTTTCCTAAATTTAAAGAAAAAAAAATGTTTGAAGATATTGACAAGTTTAAATCAAAATATTATATATATTTTTAATATATTTTTATATTTTATATATATATATTATAAAACATTATTTTATATATATAATATATTTTATATATAATTATATAAAATTATATTTATATTTATAAAATTTTATATATATATATATTATATATTTATTTTATTAATGCAAAAAATGCAAAAGGGCAAATTTAAAAATATGCGGCCCAAGCCACGGGGGGATTGAAATCTTTGGGTAAAGTACTTCCCCACTTCTCAGTGCGTCATGGGGAAAGTTTGGGGAAATGTTGCGGGGAGACCCAAAAACAGGAAGTGAGGACTAGAGTAGCGTAGGTGTCATTGTCCAGGGTTTTTACCCTTAGTTGTTTAAAGGGTAATCGTGGACGGTGCCCAACCTACGCTACTCAAAAGACCTCTCTCCCTGCTTTGGTTGCCCCCTTTGAAACTTTGGGACAGCCCCTGATGAGCATGATTAGTGTGAATTTCCTTGAGCAAAAGATTTTTCCCCCCCCGTGGGTTTTTGTCCGGGCTTTTATAATTAATAAAACCCAGAAACAAGGATTTTGAATCTTTAAAACAGAATTCGGCTAGCCAGGTTTCGACCCTGCATAACCATGCCGAGCCCTGTGAGAACAGGACAAGGGTACGCATCACTACCCTACTGGACCAAAAAGTTATTGGCCCTTTCCATGCCCACCCTGGGGAAAACAGGGCTGGGCATGGATATGCGGGGATCAAATTCCTGGCTAGCCGCAGTTCTGTTATTATTTTTTATAAAATATATATATATTATATATATTTTATATATTTTATATATATATATATTTATATATATTATATATATACATACACCCCACACACAGCTAGGGGGAAACCGGGTCCTCAAAAAAAGGGTTGGGGGGAAATGGGCCTGCCCGACACTGGGGCCCAGGAGGGGGTCGGGGGAGACATGAAAGGGACATATAAAATATGCGCAAATTGACGAGGTGGCCCAATTTACGGGATGTTCCCAAAATTTTTTTTTTGGGACAGGGGAAAAAGAGGTCAAAATTTGGGAAGTAAAGGGCCCCGATGAATAAAAGGGATGTTAGGAAGTATTTCTTCAGTCATAGAGTAGTCAACCCGTGGAATAGCTAAAAAGTGAAGTAGTGGAGGGGGGAAAACCATACATTTTTTTAAAGGGGTGAGGTTTGATAAAGCTCAGGGAAAGCGGGGAGAGAGAGGACCAATTTGCAATCAGTGAAGAGGGGGGGCCGGGAAAGCTATGAATCCCCCCCTTTGAACCAAAAAATAGGTGATTTAAAAATTAGGTGGTACAACACCCCAAAACCCCACACAACCACACACACACACACAAAAAAAAAAAAAAAAAAAAAAAAAAAAAAAAAAAAAAAAAAAAAAAAAAAAAAAAAAATTGGGGGGACTCGCGGGAAACCCAAGGATCAGATGGAATGGTTGGGGTTAGGGAGGAGGGGGAGGGGAGGGCAGTGGAAAAGGTTTGGAACAGGTGGGGGAGAAAAAAATTTGGAGAGCTTTCTGAAAAAATGGGAAAGAGCTCTCTGTAAAATTTGGGAAAAAGGAAAAGGGGTTGGAGCAGGAAACAAAAAATTTGGGAGGAAACAAGTCGAAACTGCAGTACCCAAGAAAAGGGTCCTAGAAGTTGAGTTTAAATTAGGCTGGAGGGGATTTTACAGGGGCAGGGGACCAGGGGAAGACACAGCATAGAAGTCCCGAGGCTTAACGGGGAAGGGAAAGGGAAATTTAGAATTATCCTGGGGGTCCCCATAAACTCCCAAGGAGGGACCAAGGAGGGGAAAGGGAAGATCAGGGGGGTTGCGATGGAGGGGGTGATAGGTCGAATGCTGGGGCCCAAACAAGGCTATCAAGGGGCCACGGGAAAAATTTAAAGGGAAAAAACTGACCCATACGGGCAGGATCCGAGTCACAGAGGGGGAGGGCAATGGGAGGAAAAAAAGGGCCCAAAAATAAAGGTTTACCCATGGGCTTCGGGGAAAAGGGGGAAAAGGGACACACACTAAAAGGGGGAAGCGGGAAAGAAGGAAAGGAGATTGGAAAATCATCAGGGAAATGGGGTGAAGAAAAGGACGAGTTTGGGAAAATTTTTTTCAGGGGAATAGGGGGGGTATCGAAAGGGGAGGGGAAAAAAACCAAACCCCTTTCAACCCTGATTCTCAGGAGGGAAAAACAGTGGGGAACAGGTTCCCCAAAGAAAAACCACGATTGAAATATCGGAAGAGAAACAAGAGGGTTTCCTAGACGGACAGAACAAAATCAAAAGCGACGCAGCTGGGGGAGAGGAAAAAAAAACCCAAAAGGAGCTGGGAAAGAGACAAGGAGGGAAAACCCAGCAGGGTAGTCAGACCCAGGACGAACAGAAAGGGGCCCAAGGGCACCCCAAACAACTACTCTCAAAAACCTAAAAACCTTTAATCCCCCACCATCCCAACACACACTAAAAACCCAAATCCCCACAGCCTCCCCCAAACATCGAGCTATAAATCCCACATATGCCCCCAAAGGTTTCTCCCACCCCCAGGCCCCCCAATAACAGTTTTGGGAAAAGGGAAAACTGAAGGTTTTTGGTTTCCCCCCAAAAGCTGATGGAATAACAAATAAGTGGGGGAGTGGAGGGAAAAGGGGGTCAAAGAAGAAATCCCCGGGACTAATAGCTCTTACAGAACCAAGTTACAGGTTGTAAACAGTTTGCCATCTTTCCAACGGGATACCAAATCCTGAGGAAAGCCAGGGGGAACGGGGGGGGTGGAGGAGTGGCGTTGCTGATCAAAAATCGCGGGAAATTTTTTGATGGCTGGAGAAAAGGGGGTTTTAAGCGGAGAAGAAAGTGATTACATAGGGGGAACATTTCCCACTCTGGGGCCCCAAAGGGTTGGGGAAATAGCGTGATGTATAACCCCCCAAAGAAAAACAGGGGGGCCAAGGAAAGGTACGACGAGAGAAAATAGAGCGAGGGTTTGGGACAAAACTGGCTGAGTGGAAAGAAGAGCTCATGCAGGGCAGGGCAAAGCCCCTGATCATGGGTGACTTTAACCAAAAAGGAGTTTCGATTGGGGAACGGGGGACCCACTTGGGGGCCAAGTTTAAAAGGGGGAGGGCAAAGTTTGATGGAGGTGGTACTGGAGAACTTCATGTCCCAAACCCACGAAAGGGGCCCACTACAAGAGAGAGAGGAGGGATGAACCACCCAAGGCGGGAAACCTTAGTTTTCCCACCTTAAGTGGGTGCGATTCGAGGACATCCCCTTTTATGAAAGCCCCCTTGGGGCCAGTGCCATGGGGTTTTTAAAAGCTTCAAAATCCCCCAGTAGAGCTACAAGGGGAGGGAGAAGCGGGGAAGGCCAGGAGGGAAGGGAAGCCAAATTTCAAAAAAGGGGAAACTACCCCGGAATGAGGAACTACCTGAACGGGGTTCAGTGGAACAGAGAACTGGCGGGGGAAGCCAGTTAATGGGGATGATGGAATAGGTAGAAAACAAAAGAAAGGAGGCTGGGGAGAGGTTTGTCCCCAAGGGTAACGGGGGTAATAAAAAAACCCCGGGAAATGGGGCCCATGGTTTACCCAAAGGTGCAGGGAGGCAAAAAACCAAGTGTGTGGGGAAATGGAAAAAAAATATAGAAGGCAAAGGCCCCAGGAGAAATAAGGAGAACAGTCGTAGACCAAAAAGGGAATATGCACAGATAAGAAGGGGGGCCCCAAAGACAATATGAAAATGACATAGAGCGAAAGCCAAATCTAAACCCAAAAAACTGTTGTCAGCCACATCGGGGGG